TAAATTAAATTGACGTTTGCCATGATTGAGTCTAAAAAAGACACTTTCGGAAGAACGTAAATTACACTGATGATTGCCATCTTTGGAGGTCTTCTTTTTGATTATCAGCTGTGATTTGGAAGGACATAAATACACTAACGCCTGTCGTTTAAAAAAAGTATATTTTTTTGATTATCGGCTATGATCTGGAAAAACATAGATTACACTAATGTCTATCGTCATTTGAAGGCCTAAAAAAAGTATCTATGTAGCAGTTGTTTGGAACTTTAGTATTCATTGGAACCGATTTATGAAAAAAAAAAGATTTAGAATTCTATACTATTTACATGTCATTGTAAAGGAATGTAAATTATCGTGCTTTTCAAATTAGCAAATTTCACGTATCACACCGGGAATCAGGAATCTATAAAAAATACCAATATGTGATTGGCTAAAAAATCAACCAAATAATTTTTTCCAATCATATATTGGAATTTTTTCCAGATTCTTGTGGTTTGCACAATTTGTAAGCCTTGCCGATCCTTGCCTCAGGTGTCGATCGGCCTAAATTAGAGTTAGGGTAAGAGTTAGATTATAGTTTAGGCCATGTCGATCAGTTAATGCCGACCGGGGTAAAATCGCCACCCTAAAAAGTTTCAATTCATTATGATTAGATCATGATAATAATATTTATTAAAATATTAACATGATGGATTTAGTAAGTGATTTTTTCTTCGATTCTTTAAAGTGAAAAAATCCAATAAACACACTATTTTAAAAGTATATGTTGGTTGCCGTAACCAAATTTCCATTAACAATAAATGAAAAAAGAATGAAAATCGAAATAAAAATTGTAAAAACTAATAAGAACATGCAATTGAACCAGAAAATAATTTGGACAGTTAAATAAGCTTGTCATCGCAATGGAAAAAAAGGATGGTCTAGATCACCTTTTTTATCATAGAGGTGTGCTGATTGGCTAAAATTTAAAGATCCACATTTCGTAATATGAACCTTCAGCAGAATTACCGTAAGAATGAGCTCAATTAATCATGGTGCTTGTGCACGATCTCGTTTACTAGTTGATCACATTGAGGGAGATACTTGAGAGCACCCTAAGTCTAATCGCATGATGCCAAAGATCGAGAGAATTTTATGTACGAATAATAAAGGTCTTTTTAGGTCACACAAGCTTAATAAATCGGTTCTCATAACATATAATTTTTTTTTACAGTTTTATAAATTTCAACCCAGCCGGGTTATGAAAACCGATTTATTATGTTTGTATGGCCTTATGATTATTTGGCGATTCGATAAGTTCGTGATTTCGGTAATGAGAGATTATAATAATGTGTATGTTACGTGTCAAAATAAATTTTGCGTCAGGTCAAAATTTATATACAGGATTTTATTAAAAACTTACGTTAAGATGAAGGTAGTTATTTTAATTTGACGTAGATATTAGTTTGATGCTATAATACAGTAATATATTAAAATTTAATTGAATATAGGTTTCAAAACCTGCAAAAGAAAGGAATAAAGAAGATAATAAAATAATACAATATATATATTTTTACTTTTATTTCATTAACATAACTTTGACAAATGTTAATAAATCTTCTTTAATCCAGTCAATAAATTCTTATTTTTTTTTTTATTAGCACCTACTTGCGTATATATTTACTATGAAAGCTAATCTTATATTCACATCCTTTTTTATGTTTCTTCACCATAAATTCTTGTACAGATTAAACTTACCAAACGTACTGGACATGTATTTAAACGAAAACCTAATTTAAATGTGTTGACATTGTTGTATCGTTCTGAAGATATTATCGCTATGAATTAAAAATATATATCGCTTTATATACTAATTACTCAAGTTAAAAGTTTATCACTGCCGTATCACAAGCTTATCGAATCGGCCAACAATAATTCGGTCATTTTTTTACCTGATGTTCCAAAATTTATGAGAACAGTTGTAAACGACCTAACAGTTATGTGAAAATCGCGTTATTATACAAGGCTTAGATCTCATGTTTATTGAATTTTATTCACGTTACGCGTCTTTAAAAAATTTTGCTCCATTCAAAATCCTCAATTTTTATCATCTATAATACATTAAATCTAGTTAAATGCCCAAATAATTTTTTTGTTCTAATCAAATAGCCTATTTCTTGTAACAAATACACATATTTTTAATTATAAACATTTGGAGCAATTTTTGCTAACGTTCACACTTATGATGTACAGTATAACGCTAACTAATATCGATAAATTAAAAATGATTGATGTTGCACCAAACTTTGATGTTATGTATAGTTCGACGCGAGAAATAACTTAGTGCATAAAGTTCGAGTTACTTAAATATTAGTAATTTAAATGCGCAATCGTTATTTTTTTTATTACTTTGTAAAAAAGAATCAAATCAATACTAAAATAATTTTATATCACAATCCAGTGATTAGAATTGCATGATTTTTACCACTGTTCGAATCTACAGGAAGAACCGTTAATGTTACACCAAGTGAAGGATTATATCCATCACACTTGAAGTTACATATAAATAATTTCCAATTTAATTTAACTGATCACCCCGTGTGAACGACGGAGTGAGAGATTATATCCATAACATACATTTTAGAGTAAATTCAAAATAAATAATTTTATTATTGATCAACTACATCGTGTGAAGGATTAATGTGTAACTTTGACGGTTCCTCCTGTTGTTGTTCACTGGATTGGCTATGCGTCATAAACCCATAAACCCTTATCTACCTTTTTTACTAATTTTTAATTATACCAAATTTTATTAGACAATTTTTAGATCAAAGTACTTTTGTTATTTTGATTAAATAAAATATTTTATTATAAATTTTGTTCATTTTTTTGTGTTATGGTAAGGTTTTGCCTCTACCTTATTAATAACTTGTAAAATAACTTATAGGAAGGAATTCTCAAGTTACAAATTATATTTACGAGAATTGGAACTCAGATTGTAAATAATAAATTATTCTCTACAATCTAAACCTACTAGAGTGGTTAAGACTCGGATATAGAGTGTGTATGGGTACTAACTTCGATCAAATTGTGGATCCAGCTTACATATTACAAAAACACCCTCTTATTTGGATAGTCCCTCTTGATATTCAGTTCATCTTGGACCTTCCATAAACACAATTTACGCTCTCCCATTGGCTTATTTCCCTTTTGGGGTCCGCTAAGGCCAGGTACATTCATATAATAATCTACATACTGCATAAATTGTATTCTTGATATCTTATAACCCATTACCCTTATCAGCATCAAAAAAGTAACCCTAACTGGTACCTGGCTTTAACGTTCCCCCTTTTATTAAGGTTAGATTTAGTTAGGAGAGAAACACATTATGTAAGTAAACTTGCGTTCCAAGATCGGTTCATATATCTTTTTCGTGTTTTTTTGTCTATCTTCTCGCTTTTTTTACAACGGGTAATTTCATAAAGTTCCGGGCTTTAAACGACTCACCTTTTTTGGGTTCATATTACAAATAAGTTCACGGGTAAACAATCTATAATTCTAAACTTAGAATTCCTGCTCTCATATTCGTACTAGCAGATCGAGTTTTAAGATATTATTTTAGGATATTGTGCAAAATTGTGCTGTGCATCACAAGTCAGATAATGTTAAGATAATATAGGCATAATAGTTTCGGTGTCTTTGGTGTCTTTGTATTCGTTATAAAAAATTTTTAATATAGATATTTATATAAAAATAATTTAGTGCCTCAGACTAACGCTTACATAATTAAATGATCTTCAATTTCACGCAAGCGATAGTCTGAGAACGACATAAGATTATGACATACCTAGTACCATGGAGCGTTCGATATAGTCCGTAATATTGTTTGGTTCATAGCGATGGATGTAATTAACATCAGTATTAAACAATAAACATAATTTTTTTATAGTAACGAACAAAACTTTCATAGATTATGATGTGTAACAAATAATCGTTCATTAACGTTAAGGACTCAGGTTTGGTGCCTGAGACAGATAAGATTGTTTAGACAGGTTTGAGTTTGTTCTTTAAACGCGTTACAGCATCACTAACTTCGAAAGCCTGCATAATCTGACGCATTGTATTGATTTGTGTTGATTAAAAACAAACCTATATAACGATAATGGTTGTTTGTTTTAAATTTATGATTTGCTTTTTAACACTTTTAACACTGTTGAATGCATTTAAAGTTACATTTTTGATACATTCATGTATGTATTATCAAAAACACAAAAATGAATTAAACGGCATGTAGATTTTTGAATTTTTCTTTGTATTGTATGTAAAAAAATTTCATGTGAAACTTTTATGAATTTGTTCAATTCTACTATATTAAAATGAAACGCCTAACCGTAATATGATTGAAAATTTGACCTCAATCGAAGAAATTAAAGAAGTTCCAATTTGGAAATGAGAGACCGATGAACATCGCTTATGCTAAATGGGTAGATGAAAATTATTCGATGGTGATTATCATTCACAAAACTGGTGATTAGATACATGCATTTCATTGAATATGAGCTTCTTAATTTAATACTTTCGATCTACCCTGCAATGTTAATCTTTTAACTTTCCACTTAATATGACAAAAAAAAAAAAGAGGGAAGTACATAGTTATCATATGGTTAATAGTCAATCGAAATAGGATTGTCAATTTCAAGTGAAAATTGTGCTCTAATAATAATGAGATTTTCGAGATCAATGATGATGGTTCGCCCCGAGTTTTTTTTTGTGGCCTATATCAATGCGTCCAATTTGACTTTCTGTCTTTTTGTCTTTCAAAGCTTTTAATCCTGTTACGCTGTAAAAAGACTTTTTAATTTTTTTTTTTTTCCTTACATTTTCGGTTCCACCCCTTGTAGCCGAGCTTTCATCAAAATCAAGGTGCTGGAACCTTATCAATTATAAATTACTGCTGCATCTTACACGTAGGGCCTTTTGATGACTGAATGAAAAAAAATTTATAGAATTAAAAATAAAACATGTCAGACGTCGAACCTCTTACCCCAATCGAGGGAGTACATCCACGTATTTCTCTTACACAGAGTTCTTTGCCGAGGGATTCGGTCATTACCTACAGTTCTGATGTTTTAAGCAGCAGTGCTGCAGAAACAGAAACTCGAACAAACACATTTTCGAGCAAGCCAAAATCAGAAAGCTCTCCACGCTTCTATCGCCAGAAGCGTTTCTGGACTATATGCGTTGCTGTTACTATAGTGCTCTTGGCCATATTTATTCCTTTATTTATCCTCGTCATTTTTCCCGCAATCGCTCAATCTGCCATTGATAGTTCTTCATTAAGTCTTAATCATATAAATCTCACTGATATTAAAGAAGGTAGTGTGACAATAGCTTCTAGTGGTAGTATTTCCAATGCTGGTCCTTTTTCGTCCACAATATCTTTCGATGGACCTGTATCCATGGTTTATAATGATCAAGAAATGGGTCAAGTTAATTTTGACACTATCTCAACTAATGGTGGTTCTGCAGAAATTATATTAGATGCAAGAGAATTGACAATCACGAACAAAGATGTTTTTGGCAATTTTTCACTGGATTCCTTCACACAGGATAATATAAAAATGACTTTAAGAGGGTCTGCTCGTGTAAAATCTGTTGGTATAACAAGAGGCGGTTTAAATTTAAATAAGGAAGTCACACTGAAAGGTGCTAACGATTTTCCTAGTGTCAATATAATATCATTAAATATTGAACAGGATCCTCAGAATCCTCAACTCGTAAAATTAGAACACGTTGCTCAATTATATAATCCATCTATTTTTTATATAAATATGGGCCAATATGGCGCAGAAGTTACTTATAATAATTCTCCCATTGCAAATATGGTGGTTGCGAATTTCATATTAGAGCCTGGTATGAACAATATTTCTATGACTGGTTATGCAATTAAGCCAAATTCTGTTCAGGATCTTGGTAATTTAGGTAGAGTTATGCAAGCATATGTGGCAAATAGTCCAATAACAACACAAGCGAAAGGTACATTTGCATATCCAGATAATGTAAATTCTGTATCATGGCTTACATCAGTAGTTACTAGCCTGACATTGAACGCTGTCATCGGTAATAGCACTACTGGACCTCAAGTAATTACAGGCTTAGATCTTGGTCAACCTAGTGTAAATTTTGATGGACAATCAAGTTATGCGCCTTTATTCTCTGCTAACAATGTTACTGCCACTTATAAATTGCCGTTTAATATCAATTCAAGAATATTGCAAGTTTCACAAGACATTACGCTCCTCACTCAAGATAATCAACCATTTGCTAATCTTACTACCAGCTTCAGTAATGTAACTTTTGATAATGGTACTGCAATCATGAATAATATTTCACCAAATCCACTCTATGTGGTTTCTGATAACTATAATCAATATCAAGAATTTTTGTCAACTTTAACAAAATCTGACCAGGGAACACTGAATATAATGGGTCACGCTAATATTGTGGCTAGTACAGTTTTGGGTGATATTCCAATTAATGGGATTCCATTCAACCTTTCTACTTCATTACAAGGCTTCTCTAATTTTTCAAAGGTCGCCCCTACTATTAACCATGTAACAATTATTGATGCTACTTCAAACTATATGCTTCTTGGAATTGATGCCACTCTTTACAACCCTTCAAGTATGTCTATTTCACTTGGTAATACAAGCTTTAAGGTCGTCTACGACAATACAGAAATTGGTTTAGCTTATGCAAATATGTCACTTGGACCTGGCCCTAACAATGTTAGTCTCCAATCAACCGTGGATCCAAACAGTTCCCCCCAAGCTTTTCAACTTGTATCAAACTTCATGAACAACATCAGTTCGAACGTTACTGTCTTAGGTTATGATGGTTCAAGTGGTTTTGAGAGTTTGAAACTTGCATTTGAAGGTTTAACCATGAATACAAGCTTACCACCTTTGAAAACTCCGTTGGTTAAGAAATCAACCTTGCATATTCAAGACACTACAACAAGTGATCATATAGCAACAGGAATTGTGGATATGGCGAATCCTTTCGATGCTGGATTCAATATTCAATCACTTGAATCAACCATTACTGCTGATGATTTACAGCTTGCAACAGTCTCTCAATCAAAACTTGATATTAATATTCCTGGAAATAAAACCATTACTACCAATTTGCCAATATCACTTACCCTTGATCCTGTTGTACTTTTTGGTCTTTTACGTCAAGAAGCCAAAACAAAAAATATGAATACCGAAGCAATTGATGCCTTGATATCTATAGGTAACATTCAAGTACCAGGGGTACCTCAAATAGATATTAGTAAAATTAATCCGCGCATTTTCGATAATTTTGATGTTGTTCAGTTCTCTAAATCTGCTATGAGTAATATGAACACAACCATGAACATTTCAGCTACTGTCGAAATTATTGGTAAATCTGGTAGTTACCAATTAAATTCTCCGTTGCCTATGACTCAAATCGTTACCAGCAACACAGATGATAGTCTTGAAATAATGATTAAATTCCTTTCTATACCAATTGCTACACAACTAGTAGCTGCATCAAATACTGATTTCACTAGTATTCAAATTCAAGACCCGAGCGAAACAGAATTTACTGCTATAATGAGTGGATCAATTGTTGCTTCTTTGGCACTTAATGCTCGTATTGCTACTCCAAATGGTCTTTCTATAGTCTTTAACGATAAAACCATTGGTGATGTTAACCTCCCACCCATCTCCATTGACCGAGGAACTGCGAAACTTGATAATGTAAAATCCAAATTTACAATTAATGACAAAGATGCTTTAGCAGACTTCACTCGACAATTCTTACAAGTAGATACCATCACATGGACAATTACTTCACCAAATATAACTGTTACTGCATTTAAACTCGAATTAACTGGTGTTCAATTTAATCAAAAAATTCAATTAAATGGTGCTAATGGATTCAAAAATGCTGTTAAAATTAACAATTTTCAACTTCCGGGAGATGCTCCTGAAGGTGGAATTTCAACTACCATTGATTCTACAATTTCAAATTCTGGTACAATTGGTATGAAATTGGGTACCGTTTCCTTTGATGTCTTCTCTGGTGAAACCAAGATTGGTGAAGTTTCTGCTGATGGTTTTGTCCTTAAACCAAAGGGTGTTTCAACTCTTAAATTAAATGGTCGTTTAATTCCTCAATCTGGTGTTGGTTTGCAAGTTATTGAAAAGATGTTCAACGACTTTCTTGCAGAGAAGGAAATTCCTGTTTCAACAAAGGGGACAGGTATCAACCCTCCAATCAGTTGGGTAGATTCTGCATTTAAATCACTTCTAATAGACACAGTTGTTCCAGTTCAAAAAATTCCACCTCTTCTTCCCGGTATAAATTTAAATGAAATGAGTCTAACTTTTACACCAGACACTGCATATGATCCTGACTCTTCTTCAAAAAAAATCACGGCTGACGTAAGGATGCCTTTCGGGTTCACATTAACCATTAAACAAGTTTCACAAGAAGTTGATATAGTTAATGATGGCGTACATATAGCCAAGCTTACCCTTCCTGAAACACCTACATTTTCAAAGATTGAAAATCATAAAGGAACTGTCGTTATTTCATATGAACATATCCCGTTAAAAGTATTTGATGATGCACACGACAATTTTGATTCATTTGTTAAAGATTTAACCATTAAGGATTCAGTAAAGTTTGGTTTTAATGGAGCTACAGATGCTTTCATTTCAACACCTGTTGGAGATATAACAATTAATAATATTCCTGTGAATGTCATTAGCACATTGCCTGGATTTCAAGGTTTTAACACGAAATCTATACCAGTTAATAGTATAGATGTCACAAATAGTACTTCAGATTCTCTTACTATACCAATTACTACTGCTATATTTAATCCAACCAACAATACGATCAGTGTTGGTGATGTGAATTTTGACTTTCTCTTTGAGAACCAAATACTAGGAACCGCTTTGATTTCAGGATTAACTATTATTCCAGGAGATAATCCAATCAGTTCTATTGTCACATTCAAACCAACAACAAAAGCTGCTAAAATAGCAGGTTTAAAAATGTTTTCTAATTTTATATCAAATGTATCACAAACAACCGTCATTTCTGGTTCAGAAAAATCAACAACAGTAGAAAGTTTGAAAGATGCATTTTCAGCAATAAGCATGTCAAAAGTATTACCGCCTTTATCCAAACCATTAATGGGTCCTTTGTTCCTTCACATTGAGAATACCACACTGACAAATAAAGTTGCTAGCGGTAGTTTCTTAATGAACAATCAATTTACATCTGACATTTCTATGACGACTATTATCAACGGTACAGTTACGTTTCATGGTCTCAACCTTGGATTGATTAATGTCAATTCTCCAATCCCAATTACCTTTAAAGGAAAGTCTGTTACAAAATCACCAGAGATCCCCACAGTTCTTAATCTCGACCCGAAAACTCTTGTTACCATAATTAAACTTGCAGCTAAGGATGCAGGTATTGATATTAGTCCGTTACTCCCATTTCTAAATCTCTCATCAACTACACAAAAGAGAGATGCACCTCTTTCTCCAGCAGCACCTGCATCTCCAGTTACAAAAGGATCTCCAGCCGCACCTGCATCTCCAGAACCACCTAAATCTAAGCCCAAACCACCTGGTAGCCTTAGTGAGCTTATCCTAACCGTACTCAACAGTATGAAAGTTGATTTATCTGTACAAGAAGCGGATACAAGTATTGGTGACTTTGCAGCCCCATTAACAATTACCCAAAAAAATGTGGATGTATCATTTGACGAATCTGCCCTTTTATTAATGGGTGTAGTTGCCGGTCCAGTTGCTCAAAAAATTATTGACAATAGTGAAATTACAATGCATTCTTCATTTGTCACTGCGGAACAGCCTGCTAAATTTAATACTCACACGGTTGGTGAGATCTCAAATATTGGAAAACTTAGAAGCATTATAAACTATCCGAGTGGTTTGACCCTCACGTATAATAAACAAAAACTTGGTGTTCTGGATTTCCCACCTTTAACTACCGATGGTGAACACACTAGTTTGATCATGACTACTGATACTGCATTCAAGATTAACGATATTCCGGGCTTTGTAAAGTTTTCTGGAGATCTCTTAAGCAGTAAGAAACTTACATTTACAATTAGCGCTGATGATCTAGAAGTGGTGTCGTTAGATTTTAATAACCAAACAGTAACAAACCTCACGATGAGCAAGGATCTCACTATTAATGGTTTCGATGGTTTGCAGGACGTAAAAATCGATGGCCCCCCTGATATGTCTAATCCAGACGCCATTGTAATAAAAGCTAAAATGAATAACCCTTCAGATGTTGGTGTCGATATGGGAACAGTGAAATTTAGCTTAACAGCAATCACAAGTAACTTAAATGAAAAAACGGGTTTTATCGGACCATTAGTTGTTAACAATCTTACAATGCTTCCTAACTCAACAACTGAAGTTACCTTTATCCTTAGTCCAACTAATTTTGATAACCTTCTTGAATTGGCAACTTGTGGAGGGCAAGCACTTATTAAAGGCGTTTCAGTTGTACCGAGTACCAAAGTTGATGTTCCATGGCTGACTATACCGATTCAAAACTATAAAACTCTCCAGCCTTTTCCACCACTTATACAAAGTGCTAATGATGCATTAATGAAAAACTTACCAGCAGGAATTGATTTAAGTAAGCATACCTGCTTCAATAATACATCCACACCCACAACAAACCCGAAGGAAACGCCCACAACAAACCCGAAGGAAACGCCCACAACAAACCCGAAGGAAACGCCCACAATAACACAGAAGGAAGGACCCAAGGGAACAAATGCACCGAAAGTATCACCCAAACCGAAGGAAGCGCCCAAGGAAACAAAAGTACCGAAAGAATTACCTCCAACAATACCGACGAAAGAAAGTTAAGGTAATCTTCCTTTTTTTAAAAAAAAAAACAATTTGGGCGGGACCTTTAGAACAATTTAAAAAGATTTTCTTGCTTATAGCGTGATGGATCAGCATGTTTTTCTCTTATAGATATTTTAGACCTTTAATAATTTTTGCATGTCAATTGCCTTTAGTTTACTTTTATCACATGAGAATGATAAACAGTTTTTTAGCACTATATTTTTCTTTAATTTTTGTTTTTTATTTTCCCTAATTTTATAAGATGCTGAGCATTTTCAAATGGAAAGATCAACATCATTTTATTCTTTTTTCTCTAACCCTAACGATATTCCACTTTTTTATTCTTAATTCATTATATTTTCTTTTTACAAGAAGTAATATAATTTTTATTCTAAGCACATAAGTAATTTGTGATAGTTTGTAATTTTAATCATAATTAGTAATAAAAAATTAAATTATGACGAATTTTAAATAACATAAAATTTACTACTCCAAGGTTTCAAAATGAATAAAATCTTCCTAAATTATTATCAGTTCGCGATCTAGTAAATATGTATAATTTAGACTGCACAATCCCAATTGAGTCAAAATTTTATTTTGGACAAAAAAATTACACATATATGGGCTAAGTGCTGCGAAATTGACAGTTTTTATTTAAGCTTAACTAATTTAAAATGTCAAAACATTTTTCACTTAAGGAACAAATATTGATAATAAAATTTTGCAGAATGATTCTTTGAAGTTTTTATTTTTCTATAATTTATTATAGAATTTATAATATAAAAATCAATTTTCCACAAACCCTTTTTTTTGTCATTTTCGTCCCTTATTGCAGCATCTAGCCCATATATCTACGAAAGTTATAAATTATGAAAAACACTTCTTATTGAAAAGATCGCTAAATGTGCAATGATTGATTCTAATAATCTGCTTTTTGTTGAAGTTGACCCAGGTAGTATAATTTTGTTTTTTCAATTAGAAATTTATACTAAAATAAATTTTATTTCAAAAACCTGGTTATTAACAAGATCAATCTTAGTACTAAATATGATTGTCATAGAGAAAGATACTCGTTTTTTGCCTGCTCTCACGGGCTAATAAATCTAATCATTAGTATTGTTATTTATTTATTTAATGAATTTAATTAAGTTATAAAATTAGGGTAAAATTATATATCGCACCTTGTATAATGTCTAAATCTCGCACCCCGGATGTGATATACTTAAATTTCACCGCCTATAAAAATTACCAAGTAACGCGTTCAAAACTTTACTTTTACTTTATCAAATCTGTAAAGGCGAATACACAGCAAAAAGTAATAAACATGAAAAATACAAAAGTAACATCTTTAGCATTAAACAAGTGTTTGAAATGATATTTTGCTTATAACATGCTCTAACGCCAAAACAAAAATTTTTCTTATAATATGTATATATTTATTTGCCTTATCAATAATCTAAAGTGCTAATTCAACATAACTATTAATATTGTATATAAATACCAATAATTTAATTTAGCATTTAGTTCTGCCTTACTTCCGTTAATTATTGCCTGTATTTTTGTAAAAAGCAGTATTGTGTCCTACTTGTTGATATATACAACATTTGTACGAACCTCTAATTTGGGTCCTTCTCAAAGGTTTTGTTTTTTTTCAACACTACTCAAGTACTGTTACTTGGGTGGTTGACCTTTATTATAATTTTGTTTAGATTTTTCACATTCTGAAAATTGTTAATTATCTCATTTTTTTGTTCTATTTCTCTTAAAGATAGACTTGAGACACAAATACAAGAAAGATATAATATTGACAACAATAACATAATGTACAGTCAGACCCCTCTATAGTCACACTCATTATAAGCACATCATATAAAAAACCTCTTTATAAGCACATTTATTTTGAAACCAATTATATATAAACATATTAAAAAAACCTTTTTATAAGCACATCTTAGTAAAAATATTTTTATAAGCACATAAATCTTTATCCCGGAGGGTGTGATTATAGAGAGGTTTGACTGTATATAGTTTTTTTTACTTTATATGTTTATGAATTTTTCTATTTCTGACATATTCTTTGTTCTATTTTTTTAATTATAACTTAAAGCATTATAAAATATACATATTGTTTTAATTTTCAATAAATTTTTTTGATATTATTTAGAAATTTTTCTTTATAATAACACAAATTTTAGTATATTATATATGTGTAAATAAAAATAAAGATAAATTAATTTAAAACTATAGTAACTTTATTATAAGTAGAAATAAAATTAAAATTAATTTTAAATCTATTTAAATTGAAACATAATTACTATACTTAAAATCTAATTTTTACTCTAATTCTAATCAAATTAACTTAAATTTTATTTTACTTACAACAACTATACTAATACTGTAATATATAACTTTATACCAATTTAAATTTTATTTATATTTATTATACATGAGGTATATTTGTTTACAATTTAATTTTTTATAATTGAACTTGATAAAATTTATATTAACAAATAAGCATTAGAATATTTTTTCTCTAATTATATTTTTAATAAGTTGAATAAAATACTTATTAAGAACTTTTGTTATTATTAGAAACAAATCATATTTAACTATATAAGTAGTATTTAATATAATAGCTTGTTTATATTTGTAAAACTAGTTCTATTATTTTTCTCTTATTAATTTTAAATTAAGATAGCCTGCAAGCTTATATAGAGTATTATTGAGCTTTAGTTATTATTTTATAATTCAATTATAAATTCTTAAAATAGTTTTGATATCAGTTATAAAGATTTTGTAAAAATAAGTTTGAACTTATAATTTACACTTTTGATCTAAAGTATATAACAAATAATTTTTTGTTATTAGAAAATTATTAAGTAAGAAATTTCATCTTTGCTTAAATAATAGTTCACATAAACTATTACAATAGTAATAGAACTGCTAAATAAATTTTTTTATTTTTTATTCAGTTTAGTTTTTAGATTTTTAGATAATTTTTATAATAAATAAAATATACAGTGAGTCAAATAGGTTTTAAAAAAAATAATAAAAATTACAACATTAAATACAAAATCTATATCAGTAAATATAATAACTAGAACTTGGTTTGAACTCTTTTAATAAATTTAAATATTTAGATATGTATAATAAAAGATTCATTACTAACTAATGTTTAACAAACAAGCAAGTTTTGTATTTATTATCAATTATTATAAAAACCCTAATGACATCTGATATTAGTTGGTATAAACAGTATTGTCATTAACAATAATATTATGATATTTGAGTTATAGGTTAACCTGATTAGAGAATATCCAAAAAGGTAGATTAACTAATCATCTTAATTTAATTTAAAATTAATAACTTAATATAAATTTTTAATTTATTTTTGCATTAATAATATAAGTAGCATAGATGCATTATTGTTAATTTTATTAGTTTTTTTATATTTTTGAATTGCATTTTCTAAATTCTAGTTTTAAAAATGCAAATTTAAAAAACATGCTTTTATAAGTCTTTTTTGTACTATAAGTAATAAATTCTTATATTTTAATAATAATAAAATTTTATAAAATGTTTTATTAGTAAATAACTGATAGTTTGTTACAAATTTTTAGATTTCAAAAAATAATAAATGATTATATTAATTAATAAATATTGTAACAGTTATTTTTGTTTTATATTTAAAAAATAATAAGTTTATATGTTAAAAGTAACTTAATTTTTTAGTTTTGATATTCTGCTATGTTTTTTTAATACCAATTTTAATTTTTTTTAGATTTATATTTATTATCAAACTTACAGATAATAATTAATTTGTGAATTTGGTCTTTACTATTTTGCTTTACTTTATATTTAACAGTTGTAAATTTATTCTGAAATTTTATTCATTAAAATAGTTTTTTATTTTTTTTTATATCTCAAATCTAATATTTTTAGAAATGTTTTTAGATGTAACTATATATATATATGTTAAAATATTAGAATACATATTAATGGTTCTAATACTTACTCAAATTGTCACTATTTTTTTTTTATATTATGTTTAATATCTATTATTTGTATATTATTATTAATATTACTAAAACTATTTCAATCATTATAAAGCTTAATGTTATAAAGTAAAATAAATAAACCAATAATATAATAATAGCAAAAATATTTTATTAATAGTTTATATTGCATATCAATTTGGTTTGTTAAGTTGTTTTTTAACACTCTTATGATTTAGTGCTCTTATTTTTTTTTTTTTTTTTTGAAATGCCAAAATAAAAACTTTATTAAGTAAAAGAAAAATTACATTAAAGATTTCTAACCTATATTTGTACTACTTATTTTAAGACACCCAATGTAATATTACATCTCTATTTCTATATAAAACTATTATTAATTATTTCAAATTATCCTTCTTTCTTCCAAATACCGCTTCTAAGTTTTCATTAAAAACAAAAAACTTTACATTCATCTTTCAACTCTTACTCTTAAATAATTCCAATATCTTTTTTTCACTTAATAACTCACTAAACTCACTAACAGTTAATATTTTTACATCTACAAAAATAATATATGTTATTCTTCTATCTAATAATCCTTATTTACTAATTAACAGTCTTTGAAACAATAAAATACTCTTTATTAAACAACTTACAATAGCTGATAATTTATATATTCTTTCATAGAATAACATATATGTATGTACTAAGAAATCTACTCATGGACCTACCCCATCTTGGTTTACTAAACTTTTCAATCTTATTCAAAATAATACAATTTTTTAAACATAACCACATTTTAACTTACCAAATATTAATACCTTTATTAATTTTTTTGATACAATTACTCCTTATCACTTATTACCATTAAATAAATAGTCTATTGTCTTTAATAACTCAAAAATTCTCTTCACAAAAAATTCACTTAACTTTTTCTTCTTTTATAACATCTTTTTTGGATTAATATCCCTAATTTCTACTAACTTATCTACACTAATTTTTCAAACTTCTATTAATATTTCT